TGGCAACTAACACACCTAGCAAATCTGGAATTTTTTCAGTCTCCCTTCTTTCTAGAACATTAGCCTCTGCCTAGTTATGATAAATATCCCACTCATTACTTCCTGGGCTCATTTACCAAAAGTAAAAGACTAAAGATAAATACTTAGAACTGGCTAACTAACAACAAAACACCCCTATCTCCTTATGATGGCTTTATTTAACCAGATGGAAATATTGCCATTAAAAATGTATTAGATAAATCTGTGTATTTTTCTATTCATGCACTTTCTAAAACCAGATCACTACATTTCCATAATATCCATTACACAGAGTTACTTACAATTGTCTCCAGTGAGTACTTCTCGGGCCACAGGTCACTAAAGAATAAACTATTTATCACAAATATCCCAGATGTGCTATTTGGGTTTTGTGATTAATTATGTATAATTACATTATCCCCTTTGTTTTGTGAATGCAGTAACTAAACAACTTTACACGCACCATAAATTTTGAAATCCAAAATACAATTGACATTTCCTATTATTGTATTCCATTATCACTATTCAGTCTTGAGACTTAATATTAATTTTCTTTTCAATATTCATGCTTGTGAAAGATTGCTTCACAAAATCCTGAGTGCAAAAGGGTCCTAAGTTCTTAAGTAAGCTGTAATATAGATTTACTTCAATGTTAATTCTTTTCAACATAAAAACATAACCAAAATTCTATTTGTGCAGTAACTTCCAGTCACCTTAAAAGCCTTGTTCTACTAGAAATTAAATGACTGCATCTCTTGCATCTCTTACCTACCACAGTGTAGCAAACAGGACATGATTAAGCCAATAGGCAGGGAAGAGAGCATGAACAGTGTTATATATCATAAAATGTACAGCACCAGCAACATTAACATTTCTCCAAAAAAGTATCTCTTCTAAATGGTTGGTTAGGAATTTTGACAACAAAATCCACTTCAGATCTGGCTGTTTTACAGAGGGCTCTGCTGAAGAAGTGAAAATCATTGGCCTTCTCTTAAAATAGCTTTTATATGTCACAAGGAGCGAGACACTTGCAAGGAGAACCAGGAAAGGATGCCCTCCACCAGCAGCCAGTACCATGATCACATGCTGAGGAAGAAACGCAGCTCAAGGAAGGTCGACAGCTACACCCACTCCTCGAATGGGCTGCCTCACACACCAGATGGAGCATCGGCTATCGGCAAACTACCGATAAAGCTGCCGGATGGTCGTGGACCTGACAGGAAAAACTCCCTGTAAAGCTGCCAGGGGGTCTGGGAGCTGCCAGGGGCTCAGCAACTCCCAGAGTCAGGCTCTTCCCAGCTGCCAAAATATCACCCTTCCCAAAACTGCAGGGCATTACTATAGGAACACACACCATGGCTTTCAAAACTGCTCCAACATTTCCAGGTGGCTGATGCATAAAAGGAAACTACCAATTTTTTGGCTTACAGGGGATGCCACAGGGAAATGCCATCAAATCCCAGATGAAATACCAAAACAGTTTGCTCCCAGATGCTCTATGACACCACTGTAGGCTTTGGGCCTGAGGCTGCTGCTGGGCTGAGCCCACGAGGTGCCCATCTGGCCGCCCCCAGGCTTCTGCTGTTGTTTTACCACCTTGACTACAGGTACATGTTTCTTCCTCTGGGGTAAACTAGTTTTTGTTATTATCATCTTGACTCAGCGACTGAGTCCATTCCAAGAAATCTTTCCAGAGTAATTTGTGTAAGAAGCTTACTGAATGAAATCAATAGACCACCTCTCAGGAGGGAATCATGCTGTAAGGAAAACGGTCAAAAATACATGATGTGTACGTGCTACCATTATCAGCCTTCCATCCAGTCACTACCTAACTGTTTTGCTATTTAAACCAACAAATTTACAGTGCTGTAAGTGCACTCAGATTTTTTTTTTTTCCTAATTCACCGAATTAACAAACCTGAAATAGTTCAGACTGCGCATCATTGCTCAGCATTACTGTTTACTTGAGTTCCAACTTCTAGGGCTTTATAAGCACCAAATGTAAACCGGTCCTGGCCCCCAACATTTTACACAACGATATTATCCAACCGGCTTTCTTATGTCTCAGAAGGAAAGAAGGGACACTTCATGTCTTTGAACAAATTATCCACTAAGGCACTGCACAGAATTCATTAGAGAAAAAAAATAGTTGTTTATTGTGTGCTAGAGAACACAGGATAATACCGGAACGAAATTAAGCACAGAAAAGCGCTCCATGAAAGTGACATTTCCGAACACCACAGCCGCCCTGCCAGGCCCGGGACAAGACAGCCACTGCAGAGCGAAGGGCGAGGCAAACGCCGGCAAACTGGTTTTCGCCCCGCCCAGTAGGGCGGGACAGCAGGACAAGGGGCCCGCCCGCCGGGCCGGGACCGCTTCCGGAGCGTGACCTTCGCGGGTGGGTGAGTGGGTGAGTGAGTGGGTGCGGGGCGGCCGCGGGTCTTTCCCTCGGGCGGCGGCACCGCTTCCCCCGCTGCCTCGGGGCCGCGGGCGGGGCGGCGGCGGGGCCCCGCCATGGGAGCGGCGAGGCGTGCCGGGACACCCGCCCTGTGTTGTGTCCAGGTGGGCGGCGAGGATGGCGGCGCCGACGAGGGAGGAGAGGACGGCGTGCTGGGGCGCCCGGGACGAGTTCTGGCAGTGCCTGGACAGCCACGGGGATGACGCCGCCAAGTGCGAGAAGCTGCGCCGGGCCTTCGAGTCGCGCTGCCCGCAGCAGTGGGTGAGCACCGCCTGAGGCTGGACGAGCTGAGCGTGTCCTCGCCCGTCTGTAAGAGCAGCGACGCGTAGGCACAGCTGCCTTGTTAAGGATGGCAGCTCCGGCCTCGAGGAGCTTTCCCATGGATAAGCCCGCCCCCTTGCCGGGGGTTAACTTGGTTTGCCTTGTTGGGAAATGAAAGCTCCCGAATGGACCGCTGACTGGCCCGGGAACTGTGAGAAGCAAGTATATAGTACAAAGGGAAAGGAAAATAAGGTCTCAAACTTTCGATAAATACACATACTTGAAAGCTTTTGAAAGTGCCCGTAAACTATTGTTACTAAAGAAGAGAGGCTGCTCCGGAAGGGAGCTGATGTGCAGGGCCTGGAGTTGTGTGGCATCTTAAGACTGGCATCCGATACCTTCTTGTGCATAGAAATACCCTTTTTCATGCAGCGTGATGTCACAGTCAGCCACCTGCCTACATGTAACTCACTCATGTTGTGCTTTTTAGTTTACTTAGCTCGAGTTATAACCATTTTTTAATAGGCCTGGCCCTTTAGTAACAGTAGTGTCTGAGGGGCTGAACAGTTCCTGTTGCAGCTAGTAGACTGAAGTCAGTTAAAAAATCCAAGTACCTTCACAGTTGCTGCACTGGCTTGTACTTCAAACACTGCAGTTCTGCTGTACGTCATCTCTAGTGATTGTGGTCTCATCAGCAGTGCTTTGCACCATGCACAGTAGTAGCTCTAGGCAATGAATTCAGAGGTTACGTGGTCTGCACTGCCACAGAAAAGCTGCTGGATTTATCTTTGCATCACAAATAATCTTTGGTGATAGCAGTGAAAAGAGCAAAGCAAGAGGCTGATCATAAAGAGGATGGTGAACTTCCAAAAGGGAAAAAAGCCCCCACAAAACAAACCAAACACACCATTCTTAAGTCTTTAATTTCAACAGAGGAAGAATCTCCTAAATAGTGTGGTAAAATCATCAAGTTCACTGATAATTCCATAGTCTTGTGATATATAAAACCCTTTCCTCTGCTAGTTTCTTCTGATGAACATCTTTTCTATTTTAAACAGGTTAAACATTTTGACAAAAGAAGAGACTTCTTAAAATACAAAAAAAAGCTTGAAACAGAAGGGTATGTTCCTCCAGAAGCTGCTGGGAAGTCTTAGGTACTCTGCTCTCATAATAAATAACTACAGAAAGAAGCAGCAAGAGAAAGCAACAGGAGCTGCCTGAGTGCAAGAACTGGTAACCTGACTGTCTCCCTGAAATGCAGACTGCTGTTCTTGTTGCCAGGTCTCAGATGTCTGCTGAAAGATGGTTGTGTACAGCTTATGGTGCAGGGTTGTTCACAAATCTAAGGGTTTGAATGTATAATTACTAAAATTCTTTCACACGAATAAATAATTGTTTAATACTGCAATGTATATATTCTAAAGAGAAAATAAAATTCTTTTTCAGTAAGTGAGCTGAGTTTTCCGTAAAAAGATAAGTCCATTCCAACTTTCACTTCTTGTCAAGAGGAGGTGGTGGTATAACGCAGTTTGTATTTGTCATTTACCAAATATTTCAAAGTATTTTAAAATACATTTTAAGTCAGACATTGGTTTATATAAGTGGCCATTAGAAGACCTAATGCATCCTGTGTATATGATACATAATCTACCTATTTTGAGGATGCTTACTTTTTGTAAGCAGTAGGGATTTTTACATTAGTTGTAAGTTTTCAATCAGTATCTCTGCTAGAAGTATGTCGGTTTATTTATCATGATTCTCATATTATGGTCTTTTGTATAATTTAATTACCTTACTGATGCAGCTACATTTAAAGATACAGAGAGTTTACAGCAGGATTAATAAACTTGACTGTGGAAGGCATTTAAACAAAGGGCACCATTTAATGTAATTATGTAAGTGAAGTTACCTTCCAAAAATTACATAATCTAGTAGATCTAGATGCTGGAATCATTAAATACTTTGGCTAAAGGCACCACTTCCATTTAAAGCATAGTCACAACAACTGAAGTAACTGCAGTAAAAATCCTGTGGTTTTGAGTGTGGGATTGTTCACAGTACTGTGCTGATGTTCTAACTGTAGAAATAACACACACACACCCCCCACATGCAATATAAATAGTATTTATTTCCAATGCAACAATTTAAGGAGGTAAAGTATTAAGGCATTTAAAAGTCACCCTGAAAACTACAGAGAACAAAACATGCAAAAGTTAAGAATCCTCATTCACCCTGAGTTTGTATCTCATCTATTCTGAATTTCATGTCGTAGCACCATGGGAAGCCACCCAGCTGTACTATAAGGCACGAGATTCTTGGCAGTTATTTTTGTTGTTTTTGCTTGATCACTTGTTGCCTTGTGTACTCCCAGATCAGCAGAGCTCCACTTACGTGAACATTGAGTGATCGAATAATACCCTGCTGAGGAATTTCCACACAGACATCCAGATGGTGAATCAGGTTTGCTGGGATTCCTTCATGTTCATTTCTAGTAAAGAAGAAACAGTAACTTTTATCTGAGAAAGGACAAGTGTTCCAAAATGCAGAAAATACAAATGTCACAGCAGCATCCAAATGCCCTTTGACAAATACGGTGCATCTGCCTACAAGTGTAACTGATGACAACAAAGGATTTTTTTAGAAACAGTAATATGTTACGAATGCGAAGAAAACATGGGGAGGCCTGACTAAGCTTTGATGTAGGAAAACTGGTGGTGCACTCAGTTTTCAGTTCACTGGTCCAGCAATAGCTGAACACCCAACATAAAGATTCTCTGCTCTTATTTTTAAACTCCATATACAGCAAAATGACCAGCTATAGATGAAATGACCAGGGCATGAAGCTGCTGGCACAGCAAGGAAGGTCAGCTGCTCACTTTACGTTTGGCACGAAGGAATGTCAGAACTCATTTGAAGCCTTGAACTGGAAGTTTTACCTTTTCAGAACTGAGCACGCCAGAAGATACCAGAGGTTACCAGTAATTAAAACTATGTTGTTAATTAAAAGAGAACAAAGTGACTATGAGAACCACTTTTTAAAGACAAGCTACACATAAAAAAGTTGGAGAAAAGGTATTTCTGCTCACTTTGTCCTAAAAGGATAGGCAGGCCCTTCCCCCTGGTCTCATTCAGTAGCCCTGCAATGCCAGTAGCTTTCTGACTTGTAGCTGCTTTACTGTGGATTTCTTTAAGTAGCCTCCCCTTTATATCACATCTGACATTTGTCTGCTTAGAGAAACAGTTTGCTGCTTGTCCCATCCTCTGCTTGTACTGCAAAAACTTTATCTGGTGCTCAATCCATGAGTTTTAAAGCATCTCCCAGCTATGCACACTCTCTGCTCCAGCCCTCCTCACCACATTAAGCAGAGCAAACAGGCTTAACTCCTTGCTGAGCTCACCACAGCCTACACATACAGGGCCCCGTATAACTAAACTGAACAAACGATATCTCTGGCACACCTGGAAAAATACAATCCATGCTGTTGCTACGTTCACCCATAATAAAAAGGAGTTACAATGTATGAACAGGTTATTAGGTGTGAGGAGAAGGATAGTTCAGGAGTAGGTATCAATACCTCCTACTCCTTAGCACATAAAGCCAAGCTCTACTCTTTTCATAATCACTTCCCATTCTAAAATCACCTTTACCACTGTCACTTGATTTTCACATGACCAAACTCTTGACTAGAGGAAGGGATGGACTGCAAGAGGTAGATTTAAAAAAAAAACGTGTTCTTACCCCAGCAATAATAGTGACTTCTCTGGGAAGCAATATTCTGTAAGATCATAACTTTTAGCTGTCTGCTCCACACCAATAATAGTGTAGCCCTCTGTTTTCTTCTGCTGTAAATAATCAACAAGCTGACACGGTTTCACCTATCCATTAAAAGTAGAGAGAAATACAAAAATATTTAAATACTGCCTTCTGTAAACTTCTGAAGTTATTGTGAAAAATAATTTACTTGGACAGTTTTTAAGATTGACTTTTATCCCCGAAGACTCCATCCATATACACAACATATTATAAGCTCTTCAGCAATAACATAAAAGGTCAGTAATGCCACAAAAATGTACCCCACCAATACAATGAAGAAAGGCTTTTCTAGGCTTCTGACAGCTACAAACCTTGTATCTGAATGTAAAAGAATAACTCTTGCATAGGGACAAGGCGCACAATTGTTATTTAACCTGAAATTCCTTCTCAACACAACAGAACAGCCAGCACTGAGTTGCCTTATATGCCTGAACTGCAACTTGGGAAGTGAAAAATTTCTTAGTTATCTATATCCTACTCTCTAAATTGCTTATTTGTATGAAAATGCCAATTTCTTCATGCAACAGCAGCTGCACCATCAGTACACTTCTGTACAGATATCAGCACGATAACCTGTGTCCATCAGCACTCTGTTTTAGGCAAAACACACTAGGGCTATCTTGTTCTGAAAATAAGCACCATGGAGGAAAAAAAAAATCAAAAATTTTCACTGAGTGTTTCAGATGACTTAGAGCTGACCTGGAAAAACTGATAACTAGATAATAGTTCTAAAAGTTGGCACAAGTTAACTTCAGGCAAACTCAGACAATCACTGTGAGGTTACCAGAAGCAATGGACAAAGCAAAACAAATGAAGTATTGTTCAACTTTTATAAATAAACATTAAATTCCAAGACACCACTGTAAAACAGAATAGGATGTAACAATGACAGCTCACATAATCAGTTTTCCACAGCAATAAGAAATTGAAAGTATTTTTTAAATTCTTTTTTTTTATGAGGTTGACCCACAGCTTATACCAAAACGCTCAAGATTAAGTGTCAGAGATAACAATGGGTGCTTCCGTTAAATAAAAAGTTCATTTTTGCAAGATAAAATGTTAGACTCTGCACTATGCATCTGACAAGCGAAGATGCTCAGTACACTTTTCAACGATTAAAATGTTTCCATTCACCTCAACCAGGGGGAGCCACTGCTCTGCAGAAACACTAAGATGCTGGAACTGCTTATCCTGTATGTAATGAAGACTGCCGACAACTAATGCAGATGCCCCAAATATTTCACTTGTACGACATAAACCTACAAAAACAAGACATAAAGTAATTTTTGTGTAGAAAGTAAACACCAAGCCAGAATGTATTAGTAAGTGAAAATGACAAAGAATGCAAAAGTGCAATGTCATCTATTTTTATATGTTTCAGGTCTGTTCCAAGCCACGCCTTGTTCCATATAAAAAAGCAGCAAAAAAAAATGTTTTGTAACTTAGCAGAAAGATAAAAATTAGAAAACCACTATGTCTGACAACGTGCTTTTACAATATTAATTACACAAAGTAAGGGGCTAGTGTCCAAGCCTTAGCAAGAATGGACGGTTTGACACATATACACACAAGCTTAAGTTTTAAATTCGGTATTTGTTATATGAAAGGCTTGAGAGGATGACACATGACAGCATTAGAATGCAGACAGCACCAGCTTGTGGGCTGACTTTTCATGAACAGCCTCACTGCAGCTATTTCAACTAACAACATCAAACACAATGACAGTAAAGTAGTTGCAGGATTTATTATATCACAGCTGATATGACATAGTGAAGGCGTTCTTAATCAGGAAAGGGGACTTTAATGACCAACAGTCATGAGAATCTAGTAGGTCTACAAGATTTGTTTTACTCGTTAAGAAGAAAAATGCATTTCTTTTCACCACATACACAGTTGAAAAATTCAACTGTAACGAAGAATATAAATTCAGAAAGAAACTGAGCATGATTTACAGCAAAGTTCCATTTAATTAATGCATGCTATGTGTAGATACTTCTTTTTTTGCCTTAAAATGTGACTATGAGAGACCCCTACTCTGAAGAAGGCGGTATTTCTTTTTTCAGGATAATGATTTATTAACATTTTTTTTCAGGATAATGATCTATTTTTCTGGGCAGTACTTACAAAATTTTCTAATTAACAACATAAAATAAAATTAACTTCTATTATCTAAGTGGGCTTTAAGGTGTAAAATAAAAGTTTAAAAATTTGAAATCAACCTTACCTCCTAAGTTGGTAGGTTTATCAATAAGTGAAGCCACCACGATCAATCTGCTGTTTGATTTACCGAGTTTAGCAGCACGATCCTGAAATGCCATTTCCAAGTCTAAACTAGGAGTACTGTTTTTCCAGGGTATAATTTTTTTCTGAACATCAGTCCATTCTGTCTGGCTATCTGTTTCAGCTGAATGTGAACCTATAAAAACAAGTTGTTTTATTTATGTGGATATGCAAGAAGAATTGAAACTGGTGCTTTGGTAAAGAAGATAATCTAAATGGTAATACTGCAGAAAGTAGAGGACTCTCATAAACAGAGATCAGATTGATTACAGATGTAAATACTGTTACATACAAATACTTAATATAGATTAGCTATATTTTACCCATGTCTTGCTGAGACCAGTCACTTGGTTTCAGATCACGAAGTTCCGTTCGAGAATGATACCACTGAAATGCTGGTGGCAAGGGAATGTCAGTGAATCTGTCAAATTTAGAGAGTGGGATCCATTCATCTTCAGCAAGTTCCGCAAGGCGGGGAAGAGTGTAAAATATCGTCTGCAGTGGAACACAGTATTATTAGCAGAGCACCACTAAAGCAAGCAAAACCAGATAATTAACTCTGGTAGTTTTATTGCACATGTCTTTTATCTAGCCTTCTATGCTTTTAATACTTGTTTTTCTTGGTACTTGATTCCACTTGAATATCTCTCAATATTCATAACTTTACATATAGTGCTACGCCAAACTTTCATAAATCTCATCTCATTCTCCCTAACTAGAGCTTTTTTAAGGATCTAGATTGATTACTGTTCTGAAAATTCTAGAATACCAAAGAACTAACACTCTGCTTCTCAGCACAAAGGTCTTGGGAAACCTTGTATGTGTAACACTAAGGAGTTTTCAAATACTTTCCAAATTTCTGGTAAAGAACACGGATTGATTTAATGTCAAATGGAATAAAGTCAAAAGCATTACAATCTAGAGGTAAAATCCAACTCAGAACTACCAATACAGCTAACCACAATTTATCAAGGAGAAACAAACACAAACCCTGAGGGAAAGACTGAATAAGACAGACTTTAAAACCCAGACTCTTTGTTTATCCCAATGCACCCTTCAAGATGAAGAGGCACCCTGAATACATTTAAACATTTCACAAATATTAGCCTTACTTTGGTTTTTTTCCCCTCTTGTTCAGGATTTTCACTTTCCACTATCTAGCATTTGTGTTCACAAAAATATTCCACAGAACATCAGTTAAAAAAAGGAAAAACTCCTTCTCTCAAAGATGGCACTGCTTGTGCCAGAACATATACCCCTGATCATATTCATGTTCATCTTGTATTTTCAGCTTACTTCTTCTATCTCATTTATCTGCACCCTTATTTTTGCCTTTCTTCCCCAGTGTTCATTCAGCTGTCATTTACTTAAGTTACAAAAAAAAAGAATAGCTGAAAAAGATGCTCTAGAAGTTATATATATATGTATCCTGTTCACACCAAGCAACAGTTTAGTTAGGCAACCTCAAGTTACTTCTAAGAACAGATGTCTCAAAAATCCTAACAAACTACATGCTCTTAAGTAGATGCTCTTCAGTTACTAGAATTACCTTATCCAGTCACAAAAACCCTATTAACCTCCACAGATGGGCACATTCATCACACATACCTCTTAGCTGACCTAGGTTTTTATTGCAACAGTAAAAAGAAAATTAAGCTGCAGTCTTAGTCTAAAAATCCATCACAATTTAGGCAAAGTAATTTTTCAGAGTTTTAAATGAGTAACAGTTGATCATTTCATCCCACATTAGAAAATACTAAGAAAAATAAAAATACAGTTGTAAAACACAAATAGTGTGGTCTCAGACTTGCCTCTAGACTGTAATCCTCAAGTGGATGAAATGTTGCAAAGAAGAAGTGATCCTGAATTCGCTGCCAGTTCCTTCTAGCATTCCTGCAATTGCAGAAAGTGGTGTAAGATACACAAAAAAGGCAACATAGCAGATTTTTTGTTTGTTTGTTTCAAATTGTCAGATGGGAATAAGACAACCTGGTTTATTTACTATATTGTATGGGAAAGAAAATAATTAAGTAAGGACCTATTAAAATAAAACAGCAGCACTCAGGAAATAGGTTTTATTTATGTTTCGAGAAAGGTCCATAACACATCTCCAAACTCAATTATCAAAAGAAGCAAGTTTGGCAAAAAGAAGTATCCCATCTAGGTCTCTTAAGGAAACTGCCTATGGTTCAGTGTCAGCTTTTAGTTGTCAACAAATAAAAAGCAGACTCCTCTCTCTGCTTTTTTCTGTCCCATGTCTTCCCATGCCAACTTCTTTTTAAACAGAGTTAAAAGAACACATAAAACCCCATAGAAATTAAAAAAGTGCCACTTTAGAAAATTTAACTTGCTGCAAATGGTTCAGAAAAAGAAAGTTAAGCTGTAAGTCAGAAGAATGTTACTAACCCTGTGCCATGCATGTTTTCCACTTGCTGAAGGCTAGATTCAATAACTGGTGTCAGAGCTTCAAATTCTTCTACACGCAGCATTCTGCACATACCCCAGATTTTTTTAAGGGCAACTAATGCATAAAGTCGAACACTGAAATTATGGTTGAAACACCACTGTAGAACAACTACGAGAGCTTTCTTCAAAGCTGGCCTCTAAGAAAAAAAGAAATTTCTCCTATGTATTTTAAGTCTTAACATACTGTTCAGAAGCAGAAAAGTTATGACTGGCCAATGAAATGCTTCCTCGAAAAACCTGCCTTTCAGTAACAGTTCATATATGTGCAATTACAGGCTTCAAAACATGATCTTAATTTCCTTCCTTTCTTCTCACAAGGACACAGACGTACAGCCCTGCTTGTTTTTTAAAAACGTATTAATTTACATGAAAATTATTACTCTGCATACAAGGAAACCTCTATTTACCTCTGAATAAAAGAGCAGAAAGGAAAACCCAGGTGCAAACTGGAGTAGCTTTTCTAAAACATTTCACAGGTAATCAGGCCCTATATATCCAGAACATCTGCCATTTAGCTAATTTTCATAAGTACAATATTTAAGAGAGGTAACAGGAAGAATGAGTGTTTTCATTATCAAAGGATATCTTAATATGAAGTAGGTATTAAAAAGGTCATAAAAATAAACTGAAAAAATGTTTATTTCAGAACCCTGTATACTCTGCAAGTGAATAAACAATGAACACTTTCAGTCAAATTTACCTTCTCTGAGGTATTTTGAAGAATGATGTCAAAGTGAGATAACACTGATAAAAATGTGCAGATGCTTGTTTTAAGCTTTTCTTCATCCTAAAGCAAAATGTAACAAGAAATATGCATATATATGATGTTTTTAGACCTTAAAAGTTTTCACAGCATGTTCCATGCATGCAATAATTAAAATAATTAAAAAATCCTGCGTGTTCCCACAGCGAAATTTACTAAAATACAAAGTGGATATTATTAAGATTTAATTTTTCATAACACGTTATTTGTTTTTTTATTAACAAATCAATCAGAATGAAGTACACAGTGGTATAAAGGAGCTAAAATTCAACTCAAGTTCACTGTATTCCCCCAGGAATGCAAAGGGTCATCACCAGTTCACAGACTCTTGCCTGGGGCTCCTGCTACCCAGAGCTCAACCTGCACTGCAACGGCACACCGAGCTACCCGCACTAAATGTATTCCCCAACACAAGGACAGCCTCTGAAAATACAATCTGTATTCCCTTTTCATAAATCTACATGTTTTCTGCTTGCTCTGATTGTTTGAATGGGCCCACTGTGACTTAGTACACTTGTTATCAGCATGAGATCACTTTGATCCAACAGACTATCATCTACCAAAATGACAGTAATTCCAACTGCCCGAGCTCTTGGAAATAGGAAGAAGTGACATCCCTTGCAGCACTTTGCATCAGTTTAGATAGAATGATAAGGCATCTTTATGCACTTTAAAAAAAGTATAAATTCTAACAGCCCACATCTCTTAATACTGAGACAACTTTGCTTATTAAAAACCTGTATTAAAAAAAGGGAACACTATTAAAAACCTGTCTGGTTTTGGGCAGAAAATGTACACAAACACACACACATATATACACATACATATACACACACACATACATACAGTTTTCCAATATTTTTAATGTGATTTTAATTCTTGTCCTATTGTCCTTGAACAGGCAGCAGTCACGAGCATTGAGGCCATGCTGCTGAGAACTCAGCTGCGTTGGGCAGGGCACATCTCCAGGATGCAGGATCATCGCCTCCCTAAGATCGTGCTCTATGGTGAACTTGCCACTGGCTGCCACAAAAGAGGAGCCCCGAAGAGGAGATACAAGGACTGCCTGAAACAATCCCTCAGCCTTGGCCATATTGATCACCACCATTGGTCTACCCTGGCCTCCAATCGGGAGGCCTGGAGACACACCATCTATAACGCTTTTGGGAACACACGCAGGATCACTCTCGAGGAGAAAAGACAACGCAGAAAGAATCACGTGTCATCTATATCACCTGGGGAGTCTTTCTGCTGTACCTTCTGCAACCGGACTTGTCTATCTCGCATTGGCCTTTTTAGCCATCAGCGCACTTGTAGCAAGCGTGAGTAGAGCCCCTTCTCAAATCTTTGTTTGCAAAGCCTAGCCATGATGATGTCTGGTTTTCAGAAAAACTACAGTAGCAACTCTTATGAGTTAATGCTTCAGCAGAGGCACCCCCACAATGTCTTCCCACATACTGGACGAGATACAAGGATATACATTTTCTTCTTAGCCCAAATATACAGTGCTAACAAATTCAAGGATAACAATACAGACAATTACTATTTCTGCAGGTCAGTTCTTACAGGTAATTACTTAGAGATGAATCCAAGACACAAAAATGAACTGTTAGTAGGTCAGTTCTCCTCAGTCAACCCTTTTACAGCTTTTTAGGTACCATCATTCAAACCCTTCCTCCAGTGTTGGAACCACATTACAAATTCCACTGTGAGAGAAGTCCATATGAAAAGCTGCAAATTGAACATGTTCTATGCAAGTCACACTCCTGCTAACAAAGAGGATGCAGAAGACAAAAGCTGGGTGCGGAAACCACAAGTGACTCTGCAGTACCTCCCCAGACTCAGAATCTAGGGCATCCATGTGTTCCTGACGGCTCTTGTATCAACAACTCTGACTCACTATGGCAGCTCTACTCTGCCTAGAATAGCACATTGCAACAGGAAATCTCTCAACTGGTAGAATTCACATTTTTTTCAGCCACTTATATATCACAAATTTCTAAATGTCTCAGATTATAGCTCAGATCACTTCCAGGCTGAACTGATCTGCTCAACGACCCACTGCTTCTAAAGCAAGATTAGATTGCACAGAAAATAAGGTGTGGGAAGACAAACTATACCATCTTTGTTCAAATTACTCTTCAAGTGAATGCCAAAGTTCTTACTTACATAGCAAAAGCAATCCCAGAATTTATTCAGGAATTGGGGGTATTTATGTAGACTCAAGATAACAATCCATTCTATCAAGTATTTCACAGATGCCTGATTATTACTGAATCCAGCCTGAAAAACTTTGTCAAGGGTTCCACACAAAAAATTCTGAGAAAAAAATCAGATAATCACTTAGTATATTGTTCATTTCCATTAATAAAAAACTTGTAAATAAAAGAACACATTCTCAGCTATAAAATAATATTAGACATACTTTTAATATACAAATAAAAACATTTTAGAATCTAATTTCTTTACTATACTTCTCAAACATTTTCTTATGAACCAGCATTTGACAAAAGTATAATTTCTCAATTTCTTGACTGTTCATAAAGTAGTAACATTTTTACTAAATGAAAAGCTATCAATCACAGGAACAATCTAGCCTCCTAAAATTCACAAATCCAAGAATCAGTTTTCAGTGTCCTCTAGAAATATATCAGAAATCCATGACTTTAGACTGAAAGAACAGAACTACACAAAACTTCTACAGCAGCCGCAGAGATTACATGCCTTTTATACCCTGCTGTAATTTACCATACACAGTTTGCATGACACCAAAGTATTGAAAGTAAGTATTTATTTATTTATTTATTTAATAATTCATAGTGAAGAGCAATACCTGGTTAAGCTTTGGAAGAAGAACTAAGAGCGTCTGCCATATGCGGTTTTTAATTCTATGCTGTAAGGAGTTTGCATAATAGCGTGTTCTAGATCTGGATACCACTTCATCCTAAAAGCAAATTAAAAAGGTGTATTACCTATTCTTCCTTTAAAATTGAATGCATGGAAATACATTCTGCTGCACTAAGTCAGCAGCATCTACTGCACAGCTAGTATCAGCATTAAACAAAGTTAGGAAAATATATTAATTCAAGTTATTAAGAAAAATTCTGAAGCTTTCAGAAAATTCTAAGAAGTTCAGAAAGCTGAAAAACATACCCAATGCCAAGTAGTAATTTCATTTAAGAGCACAGAAAATGTTAGTTTTAAAGCTCTTGAAACATCAGAAAGTTAAAATATAAGTATAATTAAAATAC